TTAAGGAATTTTTTTAATTGACTTTGGAGAGAGGAAGGAAGAGGGATAGAGAGATAGAAACATGGAAGAGAGAGAAACATTTATCATTGATTGTCTGCTTCCTGCATGCCCCTCTCTGGGGATGGATTCTGTCACCTGAGCATGTGTGTGGGCTTGGGTACAGCAGCACAGCGCCAGCCTGAATGCAGCTGAGCTCAGAGACTAAGCTAGAAGAATTGAGGCAGAGAGTGAATGGGACTAAACTTTGTCAGGGACTGATGTGAAGCACAGAATTTCTGGATCCTGGCCCTTCTCCCACTGCAGAATTGATGGAGATGAGATACCAGGAACCTGGGGACAGTCTTTCATTTCTACTCCAATAACAGACCATAGTACATCTCATTCTTATTGCATAGGCCACTGAAATGCTTTTCTCATGACCCTGTGGACGAGCCCTATTGGCACCAGCAGCACTACCAGGCTCAATGTGGCTTCATTTGTAAATTCTTTGTTATCAGGCTAGTCTTCAGTTGGTTATTCACGATGACTGTTCTAAAATTCAGTTGTAATTCCATTTTGGTCCTAGGAAGGGGTGAGTATAGCTTCCACCTACTCTGCTGCTATCTTGGATTTCCCTACAATTTGTTGGTTGCATAATATTGGTCCTCTAATTTATCCTTGACCTTGTATATGCTTACATCAACCTTTTCCTAAAATGGCAAGCTCTTCAGATTGCCTTAAAGGATACAAAGTCTAGGCTTCGAAGGCTACTTCTCACAAGGATCCTAATGAACTCTCTCTTTAACTGACTTCATTAAATAAGTCTCTGTTATAAGGCCTCATCAAACTAAATACAAATTTTCAATTAAAAAAAGACGCAGCTCCATTTTGATAAAAATGTTTAACAAAGTAATTTACGTGCCTGTCTCAAATGACTCAGGCTTAACATAGGCACACAGCTCAACCACTCTAGGGGAAAAAAAGAAGCAAGAATTTGTTTGCAACTGCCAAAGGGAAAGATGGCTCTCATAGCAATCCTTTTAGCACCTGGAATTCTGATGAAACTTCTGTTGGTTTATCCATTATGAACATAGTTATATTATTGAGTGCATAAAAAATGTATGAAGAGTCAAATTTCTGAAGAATCGGCCATTTTTTAAAGACTTCCCAAGGATGATAAATTAACTGTGTATTTAGAGATTATTCTGGAAACATGACTTTTCATTGAGATTAAATGACTCTAACTTTTTGTTCTAAGTTTTCCATGGGCATGTGTGAAAATGAAGCAATAGCTGGTAATGGCTCTCTTAACAAAAAAGGAAGTTCACACGAAGTTGAGGATGCCATGTGTTTAATCTGTGTCCACAATAGAACAGACAGAAAATCAGTTCAGTTAATCCCCAAACTGGTTTGTGTGTGTTGTTTTTTTACCCAATTCATAGAATCAATGGAAAGGTCTTAGAAGTTCACTCAGCATACCTGAGACTCAAGCATTCAATGGAGACCTTGAAGGCAGTAAAGTTCTTTCCATTGTTAAGCTTGGTGGTTGCAGATTGCACTGGCCCTTAGCACTGGTCCTTGTCTAGCAACCAGCTTACAGAATATGGCTTGGTAGGTCTAAGAAAGTCAATTCATTTAGTAACAATAATTCTTAATATTTTTGGGTCACAGATTCCTTTAGAAACTCATGAAATTACTTCTATAAATCTGCTCAGAAAAAGAGTTTGCAACCAGATTGAAGGGCTTCACAGATTATAAACTTCTTATATATTGGAACATGAGAATCCTATCTAATAAAAGAGTAATGTACAAATTGACTGTATCTCTGCTACACCCACAAGCCAATCAGGATCAAATATGCAAATAAACCCAACCAAGATGACTGTGGCCATGGAGAGCAGGAAGGAAGCTTGGGTTTCCCCAGCAATGGAGGAAGCCAAGCTTTCCACCTGCCCTTGCCAGCCCAGGCCTCTACTCAATACTACAAAGTTTCAACAATAGAAGATAAATAAATCCCAACAAAAATGACGGCAGCCACAGAGCTGAAGAGAGCAGGAGGTTTGAGTTGCTCCCAGAGATGGAAGAAGCTAAGCTTTCCACCTGCCCTGGCTGGCCTCCATTCCAAGTTACAAAGTTTCAATTATAGAAGATAAATAAATCTTAGATACTAGGGTCACCAGGGGGTGTGGCTGGCCTGCAAACCACAACAGGCCCTTTACCCAGATCACCCCCACACCAAGGGAATGCGCACCCTGATATGGGACACCCTTCAGGGCAAACCAGCTGCTCCCCACCCATGCACAGGCCTCTATCCTATCTAATAAAACAATAATATGCAAATTGACCATCATTCCAACACACAAGATGGCTGCCCCATATGGTCAAAGATGACTGCTCACAAGATGGCCAGCAGGATAGGACAGTTAGAAAGGACCAGGCCTGCAAGGTTTGGGCAGTTGGGGGCAACTGGGCCTGCAGGGAAGGGAATTGAGGGGAACCCAGGCCTGCAGGGGAGGGCAATTAGGAGCAACAGGCTGGCAGGGGAGCAGTTAGGCACCAATCAGGCTGGCATGGGAGTGGTTAGGGGGTGATCAGGCTGGTAGGCAGTAGCAGTTAGGGCAATCGGGAAGGCAGGCAGGTGAGCAGTTGGGAGCCAGCAGTCCTGATTTGTGAGAGGGATGTTCCAGATTGGAGAGGGTGCAGGCTGGGCTGAGGGACAATCCCTGCCCCCCGTGCACAAATTAAAATGAATAGAAATTAAGAGCTAAGTAAGCAGGAAGAAGTCATAGAAGATTAGACATTAAACTAGAAAATATAAATATAAACAATAAATTATAATTCTCCTTTCCAAATGATATGCATTCTTCTCTAATATCATTTAGAAGGAGAACCTGACTTAGCATTCACACTAATGTTAAGGATTATAAAATATTTGGTAAATAAAAAGTCTGCTAAACTATGAGTCAGAGAGTAAAGTTCCAATGCTAGAACTAATCTTAGTTCTGTTAATAGCCACCTGCATGACTTTGGGCCAGGAACCTAATCCTTTAGGGATAATTTTTGTTTTTAAAATGAGGAGTTGTCTGAAACCGGTTTGGCTCAATGGATGGAGCGTCAGCTTGGAGACTGAAGGGACCCGGGTTTAATTCCGGTCAAGGGCATGTACCTTGGTTGCGGACATATCCCCAGTAGGGGGTGTGCAAGAGGCAGCTGATTGATGACTCTCTCTCATCAATGTTTCTAGCTCTATATCTCTCTCCCTTCCTCTCTGTACAAGATCAATAAAATATATTAAAAAAATAAAAAATAAAAAATAAAATGAGGAGTTGTACAAGAGGTATTACAAACCACCTTTGGTTCTCAAATTATGTAGTGTATAAACAGAATAAAAACAAGAAAAATTTTAATTTTCCTTTTTTTGGCTATAAATACATGAAACACAGCACATTCAGTATGGCAACCCTTGAGATAAGTTTACGAAGTCCCCACAATATAAATGATTTCTACTCCATTTAACTTCTCTGTACCTCAGCTACCTCATATGTAAAGGAAAAAATAATAGCACCAACCTCATTAGTGATTTAATACATAAACAGCACATACAATAATGCCTGGTAAGTACTACAATGTTATCATAATCCAAGTTGATGGAACACCTACTCCCTCACAACTGTCCTCATCCTTCTCTCATCCCCAGAAATACTCCCAGAGCCCCATCACAGCCACCATTTGGAACTCCTGCAATTGCTGCCAGAACCCCTCCACTAAAATTCCCGATGGAATCCAGTTTCTCCCTCACACAGGTGCTGCTCCTGTAGTCTCTGCAGCTGAGGTGGTAAAGGCACAGATGCCAGACAAAGCTTTCTTCCCCTTTCCTCCCCAGCCTCCACTCACAACTGTCTCTGAAGACACTCAGGGCCATGGTCCTGCTGGACACCACAGAATAAGGAGACGCCACTGCCTTCAACAGTGTCCAGGGAAAAGGAGAAATAGGGGGGCAGAACATTGGGGGAAAGTATATGTACAGGGAGAAAGTCTGATAGTTTTAGCCAAGTGCTATAATAGAGATATGTTCATTCCTAGCATCCTGAGGTTCATGTTAGAATTCCGTCTCCACCAAGAATGTAATTTTTTATTATAAACTAGAGGCTTGGCACATGAAATTCGTGCACAGGGCTCTCCAATCCGGGATATCCCTTTCACAATTCGGACTGCTAGCTCCTAACCGCTCACCTGCCTGCTAGCCTGGCCACCCCCATCTGACCCCCTGCTGGCCTGGTCACCCCCAACTGCTCCCCTGCGAGCCTGATTGCCCCACACAGCCTACTGTTCAGTCATCCATCTGGTTGTTTTGGCTGTAACAGACCCTCGCATTTTATATATTATAATTACAAAGCTTTTGTTGGGTAACTCAGAAACCTACCATTATAGCATGAAAATGACTTACTCATGAAAACTTACTCTGTTCATTAGTGAGAGACTGCTTTTATTTGCATGATTTTGGTCAAACTGAAATTCTAATAAACATAATAGCATATTTTAACTAATATTATTATTCCATCCTATTAAATATATGAAAATATTCAAACAAATAATAGATCTGATTTAAATGCATGTCTGAATTTTTTTTTGGCAAAAATATAATTTGTGACTTCAAAGAATAAATGTATCAAAACTCTTTACCCTGACTTTCCTTCACTATGAAACACATATGAAGAGTAACTTACATATAGTCAGACAAATTACATTATACTAACTCAAGAAAAAAACTATTTTAATTTAAAAAAATAATAATTGTTCTCCTAACTAGTAATTCTGGAACATCACCAACTTAGAGAGTATTTGCACATGTTTTTATATTTTAAAAATATCCCTTAAAATATGAAATCATACATTTGATACATCTTACTTAACTTTTTTGTTAACATTATCCTTAGTTCAAATAAAATTAAAATAAATATCTTAACATTAAATTTACAAGGCATTTATGAAATTATTTATTTTAAAAAGTCTTTACTTACTATTAGAAGCCATGATTCCAAATATCATAGTGGCATTTCTTCTTACAATTTTGTCTTCATGGGTGAGCAGTTTAGTTAAAGGTTCCACTACTCCAAGTTCAAGGAGGGTTGCTTTATTTTCCTCACCTGACATTACAGGTAAAATAAAATAATGCATGGCTCCCATCAATTTCACCAAAACTTCTTTGTGTTATTCCAATATCTTATTTGCCATCTGCCTTTCCCATTCCTCTCCTTCCAGATGTCTTTCTCCCAGACTCAATTTTTGAGCACAGGTATCTTTGATGTCTGCTGCTCTTCCTTCCCCCGTGTTTATCAAGCTGGCTTCCTCTTGCCATTCAGTTCTCAGCTCACCCTGAGCCTCCTGAGAGGTTTCCTTCCCCTGTCTGTCTGATGTTGTCACCACCTCCAAGTCTTCCTTATCTCTCTTTCTCCTGCTTTATTTTCCTCATACCACTGAATGACCTTTCTGCATGGTTTGCCTTCTCTGCTATAACTTAACTTTCCATGAGTACAGATACCCTTTCTGTTCTAGTCCCTCATATCCTTATTCAGTGCCTAGCACAGTGCCAGTTATGTGATGACAAAATTAATTGAATGATTGCTTAGTTAGTTATAAAATTAATCAACATTCATAGGAGTATGTTATTTATTTTCTATTGCATGATGGTCTCGAGTTCTTTGTGCTATTGATTTTTTATTTAATTCTGTTGTGGCATGGCATATTTTTTTATCATTGGAATTATTTTAAATTGATTAAGGCTAGTTGATGGCCCAGAATATGATCTATTTGAAAAATGTTCTCTATACACTTGAGAAGAATGTATATCCTGCTATTTTTGGAGTGGTCTATAACCATCAGTTAGGTTAAATTAATTAATAATGCTGTTTCAATCTTTTAGTCTTATAATGATTTACTATTTATTTATTTTTTAATTAATTGGGAGGTGGGCATCAAAATTCTCAGCTACAATTGTGGCTATCTATTTCTCCTTGAATTTCTAGTTTCATGTATTTTAAAGATGTGACATTAAGTAATGACTGCTTAGGATTTTTCATAGCCTCTTGATTAATTGATTCCTTTATCATTATAAAATGACTTTCTTTACCTCTGTACTATCTTTTCTGTCTACTTTATTATATTAATAAATGTGCTCTTTTATTTAAAAAATAAAATAAAATAAATATTTCTTTTGTTTGGTATTATCATAGGATTTTTTTTTCATTTTTTTACTTTCAAATAATTTGTGTTATTATATTCTAAGTGCATTACTTGATGTGGCATGTAGTTTGGTTTTGCTTTTTATCCAAGATGACATTCTCTCCCTATTAATTGAAGTACTTAGACCATTTTACATTCAATTTGATTTTTGATAGGGTTAAATTTGCCATCTTGTCATTTGTTTTTCTATGCCCCATTATTCTTTGTTTTCTTTTTCTTTTTCCCTTCTTTGTATAAACTAAATATTTCTTATTTTTCTATTTTATTTACTTCATTAGCTTATTTGATATATTTTTGTTCTGTTATTTTACTGTTTGTATTGGGTTTTGTATCCAATAGTATACATCCTCTGACAGTCAACTTTCAAGTGGTAATACAAGAACCTTACAATAATATACTTCCATTTTCCCATTTCTACCTTGGTATTGTTGTTGTCATATATCATATTCATATATTTCAGACCACAATATATGATTATTATTTTGGCTTAAAATAACCAACTTGCTTTTTAAGCGATTTCAATAATAAAAAAATATCTTAAATGTTACTATTTCTAGTACTCTACCTTTATTCTTTGTGTAGATCCATATTTTAATGTGGCATCATTTGTGTATACCCTAGTGATTGAGTTTTGGTGAGCTTCTTAGATCTGTGGGTTTGGAGTTTTCATCAAATTGGGGGTATTTCTTCAATCATTTCTTCAACCTCCCCCCCTCCCCCCACATCCTTTATTTCTTTTAGAGATTCTAGTCACTATTGGTTTACTTTCAATTTACTTATTGATTTATATCTTCATTATGGGTTATATTTTCCTGCTTCTTTTTCATGCCTGGTAATTTTTTATTGGATGCCAGACATTGTGCATTTTACCTACTTGAGTAATAGATATGTTTGTATTCTAGAAATTTGTTCTGGGACACAGTTTCTTGGAAACAATTTGAACCTTTTAGATCTTTCAGAACACTGCTCAATCTAGGGTAAATTATTTCTAACTACCAAGACTCTATATTGTGCACAATGGTCCATGCATCCTGAGGTTTTTGGTCAGCTCTATTTCTGGCCCTATGTGAGCACCAGGCACTGTTGCCAATAATCCTGTTGGATTCTGTGACTTCAAGTAATTCTCTCACATGTACATGCTAATCAGTACTCAACTCAATACCTGACTGGGATGCTTTACGGATCTCCTGAGTTCTCTCTCAGTTAACTCTGTGCTGAAAACTCAGGACTTTCAGGTCTGACTTCTCAATTCAAAGAGTCCAATAGGCTCTGCACAGGCTACCCCTTCTTGTGCTGAAACTTGGAAACTCTGAAGTCAGTAAGCTCAGGCAGTCATAGCACCTCTTTCCTTTGTTTTCTGTCTCTCAATGGTCACTGTCCTTCACTGCCTCATAGTCAATGTTTTGCCAACTGCTACTTCATATATTTTATCTATTTTATTTGTTATTTTGGTTAGATGGTAAATCTGGACCCTTACTCCATCTTGGCCAGAAGGCAAAGTCCCATCATTTATCTTAGACAGTATTTCAGAAAATAATGCTAGTATAAAACACCAGACTTACAATAACTTCTATATTGATTAAACATAAAATACATGCCTATCTATTTATTTATCTCATGTTATATAAAAGATGATATGTAATTAGGTACATAGGACAGCCAGGTGAATTATGATGATTCTCTAAGGCTGAATGAGACTTATGCTACCATAGATGCCTAATCCAGTGTCTCCATGAAATGGATCCAGTATTCTATATAATCTGATAATAAACTATACCTTCCAGAACCACTCTGGATTTTGTTGGATTCCCAATGATGACAAGAGTGACATAATGAGATGAGTATTTTATCATTTGCTAATTGAATATTGTTTTTGTTCTATCATACAATCCTCAACCAATGTTCAATCACTTATTTAAAATCAAATTGTTCCTTAGTTTAAAATATCTTGTTAAAAATACACTAAACTCTTCAAATAGTCAAATTAAAATGGTATACAGTAGAATAAAAATCTAATTTTACCACCATTGGAATGAGTTAAAGTATAATAATATTTTATGTTTGTAAGTCCTCAATGAGTAAATCTCCCAATAGAATTAGATTTGTAACATTTACAATGTTTTAATAAACTTTTTTACAATGGTTTTATTTTCACAGAAAAATTGTAAAAAATAATACAGGGAGTTCTCACATATCCCACACCAAGTTTCCTCTGTTATTAATATTTTATACCAATTTTGGTACATTTGATACAATTTGAACCATTATTGATGTTATTATTAATTAAAAGCAATAGTTTATTCAGAATTCCTTAATTTTAGCCTAATATTCTTTCTCTGTTCCAGGATCTTATCTAGGATTTCCCCCATGAGATTTCTTATCACATACCTTAGCTCCTCTTGGCAGGGGGAGGTACCCAGGATTTCTGGCTACATACTTGTAGAATGTCCCTGAGTGGGAATTTTATTCTTTTTAAATAATAAATTACATTGTGTCAAGGGCACTTGACTTATTAACAAGATTACCAGCATGACCTATCACTGCTAATGTTGATTTGATTACTTGGCTGAAGTAGTTTTGCCAGGTTTATAACTATAAATTTATTAATTGTTCCCTATTTCCTTACTGTACTCTTTGGAAATAAGTCACTAGGCACAGCCCACATCTAAAGAAGTTATATTTTGCCTCCTGGAGAGCATAGTATCTACATAAGTTATTCAGAATTCTTCCACTTTATAAACTCTTTATCTTTTCTCTTCCATTTATAAACTCACCCAATCATTTATGTATTGAAGTATACTCATGGATACTTATGTTCTACTTTGGGTCATAATCCAATACTACTTTATTTTGTTGCTCAAATTGTTTGGCTTTGACCATTGTGAGCTCTTTCAGATCCTGTGTCATTTACTATTTTTTAAACAATAAAGTCTTCAAAACTACTTTTCTACGCTGTGAAAAAAATTACTCCTTAAGATTAAGTTAGGCACTTAGGAAGATACATTATTTTCAGGTGATGCAATAAATGATATTCTGGTTGTCTGAAAGAATTCATTTGATAAGAAGTAAGTAAAAGATTGGGAGAAAAGTGCCCCTTATGTAGTAAATATTTTAAGCAACTAATGACATAGAAAGACAAACTTTAAAAAAAAAATTCCAAACCTTTTAAAGCAAACTTATAAATGGCTTCACATGCTTTGGCCAAAATTTCTTCTTCAGGAGAATTAAGCATTAGCACCACAGTTGCTACCTTTTTGCTTTCAATTGTTAATGGATCAAACTGAAATGCAGAGAGAGAAAAATCAGGTTCACATTTGAGCTTTGAAAAGCACATAAAAAATGAATGGTGTCTTGAGACTTAAATAGAACACAATCTTACAAAAAGGATGTGGTCACTGCTCAGTAAATGCATTGCAAAGTTTTTACTTAAAAAGCATCATTAATACAAATACAGCTGTCCACACTGACAGCTCTGGAAAGCCTTGTGTATGGGGGAAAGAGCAAAGCATTTTGGAATCTGGCAGACTTAGTCTCTCAGTTTAGCTGTGTGGAATCAAACAAGTTACTTAATCCACTAAAATTTTAGTTTCCCTTTCTGTTTAATGGGGAAAATTATTAAGGAGATTATTAGGATATCTACATACCACACTGAGCACATTGACACATAATAGATGCTCATTAAATAGCATATGACTGTATATGACTTATTAAATAGCAAGTATAATTCTTAATCAATACACAAGAATCCTTAAGTACATGTATATAGTAGTTGCCCTGACAGTCTCAATAATCTGCACCTGCTTTCTGATTACTACACTCTTTCTCAGAAAGTAGCTATTACAATTAAAACCCAATAGAAAACAATATATAAAGTTGGAAAAAGTCTGGAACAGAGGAAGTGATAATATAAAGAAAAAGTATGGGACTGTAAGAAGGCCAGTTAGTATATCCTGCTGTGATCTTGAGAGTCGTGAGAATCCACGTGCAGCTGAAAGAACCTATGGACTTTCTTTGTGAAGGAGAAAATATATTATTACACTATTTCTATTCCATTTCCAGAGACTAGTGGAAAAGGGTGGAGTGCAGGAGGCAGCCAACCAATGATTCTTTCTCATCATTGATGTTCCTATCTCTCTCTTCCTCTCCCTTCCTCTCTGAAATCAATAAAAATATATTTGAAAAATAAAAAGGGAAAACAATACTAGGAAAATTTAAAATAGGAATGAATGTTGTATTTGTAGTGATAAAACAGGAGCTTGACTATATAGAAAATATATAATAGAAAGCAGAAATAATATTGAATAATAAGGAAAGATGATGTCTCAGCAAATAATCTAGACCTTCCTTTCAACCAACTTTCTTTTTCTTCTTCTTTTTTAAATATATTTTATTGATTTTTTTTTTACAGAGAGGAAGAGAGAGGGATAGAGAGTTAGAAACATAGATGAGAAAGAATCATCGATCAGCTGCCTCCTGCACACCCCCCACTGGGGAATATGCCCGCAACCAAGGTACATGCCCTTAACCGGAATTGAACCTGGGACTTTTCGGTCCGCAGGCCGACACTCTATCCACTGAGCCAAACCGGTTTTGGCTCAACCAACTTTCTGTTGAGGATAAGCAACAATGTTCAGAAGGAAAAGGATTATAACACTAGAAATTTATACCTGGGTAAGTGATCATTCATACATGAAAAAGACATGTTCAGACATTCACAGACTCAACAAGTATATAAATAACTCCAGCCAGAATTGGGGAGGACAAAATATAAAAATATTAGTGCTGGATTGAGACAATAAAATATGTAGTTAAACTCAATCATAATGATGTTGTGAATCATAATGTAATTTTAAAGAAAGGATTCCTAAAGTAATAATGACACGTTATAAGGAATGGGGGGGGGGGGCTAGATTCTAGGTTTTTTTTTTCAACAAAACTTATGTAAAGGAAATTTTTCGTAAAGGGAACAGGACTGTTGTCTGTTATTGCTCATTCTTTACATTGATAAAAATACAGATTTAGATATGTGTATCTTTAAAAAACATATTTTTATTGATTTTAGAGATGAAAGGACAGGGAGAGAGAGAAACATCAATTATGAGAATCATTGATAGATTACCTCCTGCACATCCACTAATGGGAATCGAACCTGAAACCTGGGCATGTGCCATGACTGGGAATCAAAACGTGACCTTCTGGTTCATAGGTCAAGGCTCAACCACTGAGCCACACCAGCCAGGCTAGATATGTGTATTTAAAGGCTACAGATGAGTAGTAGGAGTTTCCCAAAAAAAGAAAGGTTAACAAGGGAAAGTTGCTCAATTCAGAAAAAGAAGATACAAAAAAGATATATCATAGCAAAGAAATACCAAAAATGTAATGTAAAATGATAGAAATAAAATAAAATATATCAATGATCTAAATAATTATCTATATGGCAAATAAACCTTATTAAGATATGAAGATTGGGTTAAAAAGCAAACTCTACTCTGTTTTTTGTGGACTGATAGATATTTCTTTCACTTGATCTTTCAGAATACAATACCTCTCTGATCAAGTTACAAAACATTTTTATTACCCTGAATATTTCCTCAAACCCCTTCCCCAAAACTCTCCCAGAAAGGTAACTATTATTTCTTTCACAAATTTACCTTTCACAAAGGTACCTTTCACAAATATTGTTGAACAGATTTCTAAAGTGGTTTTATCAGTTTACATTCTCAACATTTATTAATAAGAGTTCCATATCCTTACCAACACTTGGTATTATCAGTCTTTTTAATTTACCTTCTAGTATTTTTAAATTCATATGCTTTTTATTTAATTTAAAAAAATTTAATGTTGACATTATTGCAGGAGTCTCCCTCTCCACCTTTGCCCTCTTCTCTCCTCCCCCTACCCCTTCCAAATTATTGTCCATGTCCATGTGGTATACATATATGTTCTTTAGCCATTTTCTTCATCTTCTTTATCCAGCAGCATAAAACATAATCGCCCCTCTCCCCCTGGGCACCAGCAGTCTATTCCATGTATTCATGCTTCTGGTTCCATTTTGTTCATCAGTTTATTTTGTTCACTAGATTCCACATATTAGTGAGATCATATGATATTGTCTTTCTCTGACTGGCTTATTTCACTTAGCATAATATTCTCCGGGTCCATCCATACTATCACAAATAGTAAGGCTTCCTTCTTTTTTACTTCCACATAGTATTCTATGGTGTAAATGTACCACAGCTTCCCCCCCCCCCCCCCGTCCCCGCCCCACTCAAATACTGATGGACACTTGGGCTGTTTACAGATCTTAGCTATTGTAAATAACACTGCTATGAACATAGAGGTGCATACATCCTTTCTGATTGCTATTTCAGGATCTTAGGATATATTCCTAGAACTGGGATTGCTGAGTCAAAAGGCAGTTCCATTTTTAATATTTTGAGGAAACTCTATACTGTTTCCCACAGTGGCTATACCAGTCTGCATTCCTACCAGCAGAGCACAAGGGTCCCCTTTTCTCCACATTCTTACCAGCACTTATCATTAGTTGATTTGTTGATGATTGCCATTCTGAACAGGTGTGAAATGGTACTGCGTTGTAGTTTCCATTTGCATCTCTCTGATAGTGACTTTGAGCATGTTTTCATGTCTCTTGGCCTTCTTTATGTCCTCTTTGGAGTAGTGCCTGGTCAGGTCCTTTGCCCATTTTTTAATTGGGTTGTTTGTTTTCCTGGTGTTGAGATGTGCACGTTCTTTATATATTTTGGAAATTAACCCCTTATTGGATGGATCGTTGGCAAATATGTCCTCCCATAGAGTGGGTTCTCTTCATTTGTTGATAGTTTCTTTTTCTGTCAGAAGCTCTAGAGCTTGAGTTGCTATACTGGGGAAATGCCCTACTGCTACCCACCACTGCTACATCCCATCCAGAAGCAGAAATGTTCTCATTACTTTAGAAAGTTCTCTTCTATGTCCTCTACTTCATTCTGACTCAATAGCATCCAGCTATCATTCACCCTAGTTTTCTGCTCTTATGCTTGATGTCTCACCAATTTCTCTTCATACTCACTTTGCCTTCTTACTGCCCATGATGTTCAGACTTTAAGGTTTCTTGATACAGCTTCATTATTCAGCTACTCCCACTACAGCTATCCATCAGTTTCATTGGGATACCCCCCACCCATCCTCTCTCTGCTTTCACTTCATCAGGCTCCTCATTTCTTCATTTATTATGCTGCTTAGATTTTATGATCTATTATTTTACTAACATTCCTGCCAAACCTTAGATCTTCTGTCCCTCTATCTTTTCATCAAATCAATTTTCAAAAACACAAGCCATGAATGAACACTAGTTTTTGCTTTCTTCACATTAGCACCCAGTCATCCCTTTCTTTGTCAAAAATCTTATGAACTATTTACTTTTATTCATTTTCTCACTCTTACTTCGGGTAAGCATTTCCTATCTGAAGTTCACCATCACTGGCTCACCAAAATGTTTCTCATTAAGGCATCAACAGTGAGATGATATCACCTACCATTTTTTGATAGTTTTATTTCATTTCTAAAAAATTAAGGTAATAAAATATTACTTGAAACTATGAAAGCTGATGGCTCATTTGATAGTCAGGACACCATTTTTTGGGATACTTTTTCTATTGTTTTTTATTCATAGTTGTTTGGGTGAAGAAATTCTGGGGCTTTCTTTTCTTTCCCACAGGTATATTCCTCTGAATTTCTATAAAATAGCACTTAGCACATGGCTCTGTTTCTTTGTTTTACAGGTATATTTTAGTAATATATTTTACCATAATTTACTCAGTTGCTCAGTCCAAGAACCTTGAAACATCTCAGCTTCTCACTTTCCCATATCCCACATATAATCCATCAGCAAATTCTGTCAAATCTACCATCAGCATGTGTCCTCATTCTGGTCACGTCTCACCTTCTCCACAGTTACAGCCTAATCCTCGCTGCCCTACTGTAATAGCCTCCAAATTGGTCTTTCCGTTTTCACTCTTCTTTCACATTAGTAGTAGCTAGAATGACCTTACTTTTTTGTTTTAAATGTAACTCAGTTATTGCTACTCCTCTACTCGTAACCTCCCAATGAATCTCCCATTTTGCACAGTAGAGGGAAAAAATCTGTAATATAGTCCCAAAGGCCCTATCACTGCCACCCCACCACCTCTGTGACCCACCTCCTAATCTCTTGCTTACCAATCTCCAAGCACACCGACTTCTTTGGCATTCCTCAAACATTAGGTCAAGCCTTAGTTATTGTTG